TAATTTTCACCTTCACCTTATGAGCTAATATTTAAAGTCGAGTTAAATTTGATATTTTTATTTTGTTATCATTAATATCAAAGTCAAATCTATCTCAATTAAGTTTATTCCATGTTGTGTTGGTAGTGAATGTGATAATTGAATATGTATTAAAAAATTATTATCACTTATTCACCTTATGAATTATTCTCTTCATTTTATATTACTTTTCCATAAATAGGTCCAGAAAAAGGAAAGTCACTTATTTCTTTTCAGTGAAAGAAACAATATATACCCGCAATAAAATGCTGAAACGAAGAACCTTCCCTTAAAAAAAAGTTATTTTTCCTTTGATGTATATATATACTTTTTCCCCATCCATTCAACCTTGTACGTTGATGAATTAGCCTAATACCTGAAGAAAAACACCTTTCTACAACATTCTATATTTAACTTTTGTTATACAACTTTGTATACGTTTATTTTTCTACCATTAACAAATCCTCTCATTTTTATCGAAGTAAATTATTATGACTTCTTTCTCTCCCTATTTATTTTAACACACCAAGTATATATAATAGATGATGAAATTATATATTTTTTCAAAAAATAAAGGGGGAAAACTACAATACTTTTATTCTCTTGATAAAATAAATACACCATTATAGATTGAGATTGTGTGACTTTGAAGCAATGATAATATAGGTCTCAATTCCAACCTTCCGTTCATATTGGAAACCAACAAAATACTATGTTAAGTTATTATTAATATACTAGGTCAATAACCTAAATACAGTTGTCAAAAATAAAAACTAAGTACAGAATTTGGCCACACAAAGCATCTCATGCTTGTGGCTTAAAAAAAAAAGTATTTCTATATTTAGTAACAATTTAAATTTAAAATATTCATTTTATTCTTAATAAAATGATTTTATAGTCACACAAACATCTATGATTTATTTTAAATCATAATTTTTAAAAGTCTTCAAACTAACTTACATAAATTGAGACGGAAAAAATAATACAATATAGAATGGTACTTGTTAATCGTCAATAAATATTTATAATATTACCTCGTGATCGGTATTACTAATGATTAATATCGTAATATCCTCGCGGAAGACCAGAAATTCTAATTTAGGTGGGTCCCACATTTAGAACGTGTGGATTTCAAACCTTTGACAAACTTTCATAATATTCTTAAAAAAATATTACGTCTCTAATTATACCAATCTTTACGGAAGATATAACAAATTAATTAATCCGACCTCATATGTTTTTTTTTTTTTTTGACATAATTAAAATATCACTGACCTTATAATAATAACATGTCCAATGTAATCGCACAAAAAAATATATCCCTACACTAGAATTTGTAATATTACTACAGTATTTTATTTTTTTGGGTTCATTTATCTTAGTTCGTGTTTGTGATTTTTGTCACTTGAATTTCCTCTTATTGATCTAGAAGGTATTATAAAAGTTAATTAAAGAGAGAATTAATTTATGAAATTAGAAACATTGCACAAAGCGAAAATGTTGAATATATTGGACCAGCATATAATGACAACTTGACCATGACTTTTATCTCACCAATATTGGAGCCACGTGAATCATAATGTAATGGTGCATTTTTAATTTGTAGTTTCAGAATTTTCCAAATTATGGGATGCACATATCAATTATCTAGTGCTACATGCCATGAATGTATTTTAGTGCTATTTTATAATTTATGTCACACATTTATTTATTTTTTTAAATTATCTTTATAATTAAAAATTGTTTAATTTTAATTTCTCTTAGTGAAATAATTTAGAGTTTAAATTTTGTGCATTGTCAATGTATCAAATTCGTTACACCATTAGAGTCCTCGTTATACTCTAATCAAATTTATTATTCAGTAATGTTATGTTCTTTTCTGGCATAAATCAAATTTGTGTTCGTTAAAATCATTAATAAACATTTTTAAGTTTTCACTTTTTAATTAACAAGATCGTCACTATCAATGAAGTAATCATCAAATACGTTAGATATTGTGAATAGCTCTTCAATGCTTCACCCATAGTTGGTCTTGAGGAGTTTCTTTTGCTTTAAGGATTCACTAGTACATATTTTTTTATATTTTTTTTTGTGATTGCTATGTAAAAAAATCAATTATTTTTTCCTGTTTAGTTGAGAAGCATATGTAACTATAAATATTATATATAAAAATTTCTGATGAGTGTAGGAGCCTAGGAGGCATTCAAGAAGACACTCATTTAATCCAAATTATAAAACTTCTGGCATATTATTATTATTTTGTTTTTCCTCTGTTGGCATCCGGAGCCTTAAAAAATTTGGATTTGCGCTAGAAGTCCCATGTTGGGGGATAAAACATTCCCTACCAGCTATCAAAGACGATTCTGTATCCAAAAAAGACTCAAATCCAAGACTTCTGATTAAGCTTTAAGAATGACGGATTACTTAATTTTGACATATTCTGGTTGTTGCGTGAAGTTATTCTACCAAATTCTTCTCTATGTTTGTCTTCATTGTTAGCAGCTAACTGCCCTCTCATTAAATCCTTTGGCCAAAATCTAAAACATAAACAACATTTGAATACTGCAACTTTGCTTTCTTAACTATAATATAATAAACTATGGCAACTTAATCTTCACTTTTAGCCTATCATTGTCATCTCTGCTCTTTTTGCCTCTATATTCACTAACAACTTTTTTTAATGACTTTTATAGTACTCATATTGTTCATTGTTTCAACAATATCAAGAGTTATCCAAATTAGTAGTGCAATGTAATTTTTTATGGTTTTAATGCATGTACTGTTCACCATCAATGCCAACGTCTTTAGATTTTGAAAGTTTTGTCATATGCATATATTCACAAAAAATTGACCTGAAACACATAGCTTTGTTGGCCTTTAGTAAGCAAACCTCATGAAATTAATTTTTGGAAAGCAAAGTGCATTGCAAACTCTATCCATCCCAATTTAAGTAAAACTGTTTGATTGGACACAAAATTTATTTATGGAAAAAAATAAGACTTTTGAGCGTTAGACAATAAACATTTGTCATATGGAACTTTTCGTCAGATCATAGATTTTGAAGTTGAAACTTGAAAAGTTTTGTATTAACTATCTATTTCACCTAAATTTTCTTTTAGAGCCTATTTGGAAGGATACACCCTAGTAATTGGTGTAGTTGGGTGTATTTATAATGTCTGTATGTTTGGTTGACCATGTAATTACCTAGTCAGCAGACAATTGAGTGTAATTGGCTGGGGGTCATTACATTCTCCAATTCAAAGTAAGAGATTGTGAATTGCTGGTAATTACATGGTGTAATTACAAGCTGGTTACTTTTTAATCTCTTCCTTTTATTTCTATTTTTTTTTTCATCTTAATGTATTTTTTCTTTTTTATTAATCTAATGTTTTCTAAAAATATTCTATTTTTATTTAATATTATTTATAATGTATTTCCTTCTCATTCTCAACCTCTACTTCGTGTGATTCCATGCAATTTTTCGTAGTATCTAAAGAAATTAATTAATATAATTTTACTAGTATTCTAATTTTTAAATGATAGTAGAATTCATTATTGAATAAAGTTATATAAAGTTATGGACTTACATTTTTCTTTTCTTTTAAATCATATTTATGTATGTTATTTTGAAATTTGACATAAGAGTATTATGTTAATTTTTTTGTTTTGAATTTATAACTTATATTGTATTTTCAATTCCATTTGTTTTAGGAGTATGGACTCAATATTTTACATTGCAAGCTATTTTTTTAAAGTTAGACTTGATATTAATCTATTTGTCAAACATACATTTCTTAATATTCATAGAAATTTTGTACTTTTAATTTTTATGATTAATTTGATTAAAGTATACTAAGTTGAAAAGTATAAATCAATTATTTTTTATAATATTAGTTAAGAACATATGTTTATTAATTAACATATTCTTAAAAGACAATATATATCTTAAATATTCAATTTTAACATCATTTATAAATGCCCTTATTTGTCTAATAATTTTTTTAAATTTTTAATAATTATCTTTTATTTTTAAAATTTAATATTATTTTATGATTGTAATTGTTCATCCAAACATGACATGTGTAATTAACAAACAAGTCAATGTAATTACTAGCCTGTGTAATTACACCAATTCTAATTACATGGACTTTCCAAACAGACCCTTAGTGGTTTTGGACTTTGGTGAGTGAATATTTCAAAAACTAACCATCTTGTCTATTTTTAATTGTCACTTTTAACATATTCAGATTTTTTTTTCTAGTTTTATCCTTAGTATTAATTACTTATCCAAAACTTTTATTAAATTTAATATTAAACATCAAACTATTTATATCAATCATTTTTTCCCTTATTATTATAAGTACATCAAATTGAAATATTACAAGTTATAGAGGTTAAAGATAAATATTTAACTACTACTCCAATATGTAGGGTATGGCCACAACTATACCAAAGATTGAGGCGGCATTAAATATAGTCATTTAACAACAAAATTGGTTGTGAGGTGGCAAAAAAAGCCAACATGGCTACTACTTTTGAATTTTAATAATTGAGAAAAATGTCCAGATGGAATAGTAAATAGAGGATTAGGATGACACGTCATTCCCTTAAGTGGCCATTTATTTAATTTCTGTCTTTTGAAACTTTCTAAAGGCCGTTTATTAACAATTCTCGACCTTGCCTGTCATTGACGAGGTGCTTTATCCATATCTTTTCTAATAAAATCTCCATAAAAACTTCAAGGATAAAAATGGAAATTTCATCTAAAACTCAAATACCCCACGCTCTCTTAAAGTATTTAACTTTCACGATTTACTCTTTTTTGTTTCAGTCATAGAGGTTGGTGCTCACGTATTGAGCAATGCGCGTGAAGTTTTTATGAATTGGAATTGGCCACTCTGTCCCCGCCTTTTGCTTTTCTGTTGGTGAGTTAGTTGGCTATATATACGGAGACATGCGAACCATGAATCTACACTGAATTATTAAACCCTGAGGAGAAAGAAAGAAAGAAAAAGTTCATTGAATACATATTATTACTCTTCTAAAACTTTATCGTTATGTCGCCGAATAACTTTGACGCCGGCGAAATGCCGGAATTCGACATTCAAATCATCACATCCGGTGGCCACCGCATTCCGGCACATTCTACTGTTCTGGTACGGAATTTAAGGAACTTCAATTTTACTTATTCAAACGGGAGAATTGTTCATTTACTTAAGGAGAATTCTCAATTTTCAGTTCGAAAATGTGATTAGAAACTAAAATTTTGATCCGATTGTTGGAAATTCTATTTGAATTGTTAAAGTACTGATTAGTTTTCCATTATTTGTAGGCTTCGGCTTCATCAGTTCTGGAGAGCATACTAGTTCGGCCGCAGAAGAAGCGGAGCTCGGAAAAAACTATCCGGATTCTCGGTGTTCCCTGCGATGCCGTTTCCGTGTTTGTTCAATTTCTCTCTTCTTTCAAGTGAGTTTTGTGATCCATTTCATCCTGTTTCATAGTTTCATGTTATTCTCATGAGTAGTCGTCTCGTTCAACTTTTGAATCCTGATTGATTTGAATGATGCTAGATCTGAATTTTTACTGGAGCTGAAAGTGACCATTAGCAGTAGATTTGTTCCTACCAAATTCATTTCACTCGTGCTTTTTTTGTGTTTGCACGTTATTTGACGAGTCTCGTTCAATCTGAGTGGCTTGAATTATGGTAGATCTAAATTTACTGTAGTTGAAAGTGATCATTAGCCATTGATAATTTTTAATTTGATTAAAAGTTTGGTAGTTGGCACCTAAACCAATCCCTGCCTCTCATTATTAATATCTTGTCAAAGACTTAAGCGTTGGCGGTTCTAAGTTTTCCACTATTATTGGAGGAGAGAATATCTTTTTTTTTTTTTTCCTTAGAAAAATCTTTGTGCCTGTAATGACCAAATTATCCTTTGTGATCAGGTGTACCGAAGGGCAGATGAAGAAACATGGAATTCATCTTCTAGCACTTTCTCATGTGTACTTGGTACCACAGCTAAAGCAGAGATGCACAAAGGGGTTAGCTGAGCAATTGACTATTGAAAATGCTGTGGATATGCTTCAACTTGCCAGGCTTTGTGATGCACCTGATCTATATCTGAAGTGCTTGAAATTGATATCAACTAATTTCAAGAAAGTTGAGAAGTCTGAGGGTTGGAAGTTCCTCCTAGATCATGATCCTCAACTCGAACTCGAAATTCTGCAGTTCATGGATGAGGCTGATTCGGTACGTTAATAGGATTGAAAGAAGTAGTTGTATACTTATTGGTGCATTTGTTTGTCATTCAGTGAACGTTTACTCAATCAAATTTGGAATTTTGTTATTATAGAGGAAGAAGAGGACAAGAAGACATAGAAGGGAGCAGAACTTGTATTTACAGCTAAGCGAAGCGATGGATTGTATAGAGCACATATGCACTGAAGGATGCACCAGTGTAGGGCCATGTGGTGAGGAGCCCTGCACAAAGAAGCTGCCATGTAGCAAATTCAAAACATGTCAAGGCGTCCAGCTACTTATTCGACACTTTGCTACATGTAAACGAAGGGTGAATGGAGGTTGTCTGCGATGCAAAAGGATGTGGCAGCTACTTAGATTACATTCGTCTATCTGTGATCAACCTGATGAATGTCGAGTTCCACTGTGCAGGTATAAACCATATTGAGTTGCTACTTTGATTTTCATTTTTTTGCATCTATATGATAAGATGAATCTGTCCATTAGCTTAAAAGAAAAAGGAGTCGGTTCCAACTACCTATCCTTATAGGCATTTGTGTTCGACCTTGGATCGTTCTCAAATGAATTTTCAGGACTAAGATGTTAACTAAGTGATCTGTTTCCTCTTTAATTTTGATCCACTTACTATTTCCAATTGGCTAATAGCAGCCATTGGTAACAACCTTTATGAAACAGCTGTAAAGAGTTTATCAACGCCATCGTGGTTTTATTAAGTCCTTACACAGGCGGTACTTAACTCTTACAAACAGGGCCAGACAATTCCTTTTTAGTTTCTTCATAGTCGAAATGTCTCTTTCTGATTTCATCCCTACAAAAGAATTGTCTGTATATGTAAATATCTTCTGGGAGTAACCTTACAACATGTTGAAATAATGGATAGGTTCGAACTGTGTTACATAAATATCAGCTTTAAATAATGTAATTTTCCCTGTTCATCAGTAGGGCCGAGTCTCTAATTGTCCAATTTTACATTACAGACAATTCAAAGAGAAGGTGCAACGAAAGGGAGATGATGGGCTATGGAAATCACTTGTTGAGAAGGTCGTGTCGGCCAGAGCTTTGTCCTCTTTATCTCTGCCCAAAAGGAAGAGAGAAGAGGAACCAAAAATGAACTTACACCATCATCAAGTGAGAAGCTTCTTGACAACACAGTGTCACTAAAAGTTTAGAACTACTACTATATAATTTGAGAAGGAATTGAAGATAGAATGTTAGTATTATATATGTTCTAGTGTAGTGGCTTTCCTCTGTGTGCCAGTCTTGAGTTGGAGAAATCCTCATAAATTTGGGGTATTTCAGCAGTAGAATTGTTAGGAATATTGAATTTTGTACATGTAGTGGATGGTTGTCAGTTTTTATGTTCCTCCAATTTGCTCAATGATCTAGTAAACTTGTGAGGTAATTTTTTGTTATTGGCTTCAATCTGTTGAAGTTTTGTTTCTTTTATTATCAAGTGTCATATGAAAATCAGCGAAATAAACTTATAATTCTTTGAAGCATCTTGGATTCTATTTTCTAACGCTGCTGAAATCACTAAAGCGTTATTTTGATGATTAAAGAAGTGAGACAGTATGGTCTAGCTTTCGATTTGCACGAGAGGTTCTATATGGTCCCAGACCTTATATAGTTTAATACTGTTAGTAACAATAAAAGAATGACACTTTTTCGTTCAATTAGTTTGTGGTTGGTATTAAAAAACTCAAATACTATATTTCAAATTGAAATTGCTCTATGAAAATATTTGGTTGAAAAGGTCATACGTATAATCTCAATATATATAGTCCTAGTAGCTATTTGGTTTTGCAACCTTGTAGATTATTTAAATCTCATTCTTATCCACAAATATCTCCATCTGATTAATAGTTTCGCTTTATTAATAAATCCTAAATAAAATAAGATATTATAAGTATTGTTCCACTTTAACCAAAGATATCGTGTTCTAGTCTCGTTGAGTTTAGAATCTTCTTTATTAAGGAGCTAGTCAAGTCCTAGTATCAAATACTGAGTTGGAAAATCAAAAAAATATAAAATATGATACAAGTGAGTGACTAAACTACTCTCACAATATTTTGGAAAAGTTTTATCAAGAGATATTATATTTGCCAATCCTTATTGCAATTGAGAAGTGGTCAGTTAAGAAGTGGATGCCATGATTAAAGCAAGGAGACAATTCACAGAAAGGCCTAAAAGAAAAGGACTACTTTGTTTCTTTTCCTCAAAACAAGGAATCTTCTATAATTATATGACCCTCCCCACCTTAGATTGATGTGTGAATTTTTGTCTAAGTACTCATTAATATTGCTATTGTTCCCAAAGACTATGCCAAGTTGGAACACAAAGGGACTCAACATCATTATTCTTGAGGTTTTGTGGAGACAAAAATAATTCTTCTTTTAAATATTGTCTACTTGCATGCTTAATAAAATTCACAAAAATAACCACTTTCAAACTCTTATAATATAAAAAAAAAAATACGTAGTCATTATTATAAAATTTTAAATTTCATAACAAAACTTCCACGAGTAAAATTTTAGATGACCATCGTTTTTTCTTTCTTTTAAAAAAAAATAGAACTAAAAAATTGATCACTACACGTTATTTCTATTAATTTACATTACTAAAGGGTCACTTAATAATTTTGTGATGCTTTATATATAGGTCATTTTCGTACATTTGGTGTCGTTGAAAGGTCTCTTTTGTTCCTCAACCATGCTAAAACTATCATTACTTGGTTATTATTATTATAGTTAAAAGGTGAAAAAGTACTTGATATTATATAAATTATATCCAATTAAAGGACTTCTCATTTTTCTTCGTTGAAAGTTGAAACCTTTCGCTTCTTATTACTCCCTCTGTTTAAAAAGGAATGATTTTATTTCCTTTTTAGTTTGTTTCAAAAATAATGATCTCTTTCCTTTTTTGGTAACATTTTACTTTTAGTTTTTCACATGACATGTTTAAGACCACAAGATTAAGAGCAATTTTGTACATTTGACATAACTTTAATTTAGGACCACAAGATTCAAAAGTCTTTTTTAATTTTTAAACTCCGTGTCAAGTCAAACCAGACCACTCTTTTTAAAACGGAGAAAGTACAATATAGGCCGAATTAAGAAAGAGCTTCTAGAATGCTATATATATGTTGACTTCTACTTTTTCCCTTAATTATTACTATGAGTATTCAAAATATTTAGAGTTGGTTTGGTCAGTGGAACCAAGGCCAATAATTTCGAAATAAACTATAAGATTATTTTATCCAATAGTTAGCTATGGATATTTATGTGTCTCGAGATATATTTTGTATTTAAATCGTGAGACTAGCTATCCCAGGTAAAAAGGGGATTACTAAACCCATAGAGAGAGAACCATTTTTACGCTGAGCCCAAGAGTTGGAACTTATAAAAGCCCAACAGAGAAAGCAAATGGACTCTAATTTGTAAAGGAAACTTTAAAAAATGACTATAGTTTGAACTTAATTAAAGATCTATATTATAGTTTGCTTAATTACGAATTATAGCTACATGTTAGGAGGGAGGAGAGAGGTGAGTGAGACTAGAGGAGGGAGGAGAGTGTCGAGCGAGATCTAGGGAAGAGGTTGACTACCTGTTGTATTTGTTGTATCGGGTTGTATCACGAATACAATTGATACAACTAAGAAGAGAGGAGTGAGATTGAGAGAGGGAGGAGAGGGGATGAATGCATGTTGTATTCGTTGTATCAGAAATATAAATGATACAGTATACATATACAAATAATATAAATACAAATATAATTGTCTGAATACAATTGCTTTGTATCATGTATCGATTATAATTGTGTCAATTGTATTAACGAACACAATTTGTGTCGACAAATACAATTGACAGAATAGATATTGTCATACTACAATTGGTACAAAATATAGTTGATATGGAATATAAATACATTTGATACATAATACAATTGTCATATTTATGTGGAATATTTTTTTGGCTTCAACTATTTGAGAGAGAGAGAAATTTGCTATAAAACCCACATAAAACCATAAATTGTAATATTTTAAACTATAGCATTTATCATAAATATGTATTACATGTTTGTTTTGTTGCATAGTTTTTCCCACTTGTAAATAGTGACTTCATTAGTTGAAACTTGAAAGTGAAGTCATATATCAATAAAAATTGTGGTGGAACGATAAAATATTTCTTAATTAGAAGTTTTTGTGTATGAAGGATTTTTTTTAAAAAAATTTCATATGAAATTGCTTTTGTTAGAGAGCTGTTTACCCAGTGTGAGTTTTGCAACCCATATTCAAATTTAGTTGCAAGACATACAGGTGGTGGTGTGAAAAAAGAATTTACAAAAATAGCTGTTGGAAGTCATAACTTATTGGCTATTGGTAATAAATCTATGATTCCTATTTCCTTAATTTAAATATCTGGTCTTGGTCAACACATATAAGATGTAGCAAGTTGTTTTTGTTTTTATTACCAACAAGAGAAGAAAATTCAAATGGCAAATGTATAATGGATCTTAGCTAATTATATGACCAGATTCAGATTAATGTATAATGCAATCCATTTCTATATATATAAAATAAAATAAAGGGATGCATACACAAACTTGATATTATTAGAGATTGAGCAATGGGGAGTAACAGCAGCAGCAAGTCAACCACCAATCCAGCACTGGATCCGGATCTCGACAACCCGGATCAGTCGGGTCTGAAGTTTGCCCAATTTGCTGCCGGCTGCTTTTGGGGAGTCGAATTGGCGTTCCAGAGGGTTGGAGGAGTAGTGAAGACGGAGGTTGGGTATTCTCAGGGGAATGTCCATGACCCGAATTACGAACTTATTTGCTCCGGAAAAACCGAACATGCCGAGGTCATTCGGATCCAGTTTGACCCGAATGTCTGCCCCTATTCCAATCTTCTTTCTCTATTTTGGAGTCGCCATGACCCGACCACTCTAAATCGCCAGGTATCAAATTCCTTCATCTTAACATTTTATTTTATTGTCTTTTGTTATTCTCTTAGTTTCATTTTATGTGAATGTGTTACTATTTGGGTTGAAAGCTCCGCTGCTTGCAACCCACAAGTTGTTTAACCGTGCTTGAGATCTCAAGTTCATTAGGCACTAGTTCTTTCTTCCTATCTGGCCAACCTTGGTGGATAGAGTTATCCTGTAATTATTTATGATGGTTGGAGGTAATTAGTATCCTGAGAAATTAGTCTTGGACACCATGATTATAAAAAAAACAGGCATAAACTATTTCCTTCTGCAGGTTGTATTCTTGTACCCTCCACCCCTGGACTCTTTTGCCTTCACTTGATATATTTGTCGAGTGTGAGTTTTTGCCTTTACCTAGAGTTTAACATTCACAAAAAGCAGTATATAGATCTCATGATGATGATTGTTGCTAGGGTAATGATGTGGGAAAGCAATACCGCTCAGGAATATACTACTATAATGATGCTCAGGCTCAACTGGCAAGGGAATCATTGGAAGCTAAGCAGAAGGAATTTACGGATAAGAAGATTGTCACGGAAATTCTTCCTGCTAAGAGATTTTATAGAGCTGAAGAGTATCACCAGCAATATCTAGAGAAGGGTGGGGGCAGAGGTTGCAAGCAGTCGGCTGCAAAGGGATGCAACGACCCAATAAAGTGCTACGGTTGACAGCAAATCTTTGTATGTCAAAGCAACTACAAAAGAACTTGTTAGACATTTATCTTGCTTGTTTTTAAATTTGAATAAACATGTTAATGATTCTTGATATTTCTTATAAGTATTTGCTCTCTTGGATGGAATAACTAGTTGTCGTTAAGTATTCTCCTCCTGGTCGTTATCTCTCTTTATCCAGTACCTGCAATTTGTTGCTTTAGTTACACAATAATGGACGTGAATTGTATATCTTAATTTGTTTCAAGTCTTAAATGAGGTGGTTTGTGCTTGAAAGCAATATCAAGCATAGTAATACCAATGATTTTTCATCCTTTGGTCCTCTTGTTGGATTAAACAAGTATATTCCCAATTGTCTACAGGCCAAACATTATATTTAGATGAACTTCATCAAATCAAATACCAATGCTGTCTATAGAACACTACAAATTGACATCATGGAATTAAGTGTATCTTATGTAAATTGACATCTTTCTGAGTAGATGCCTAATACTTGCATAAAGACTAAAATTAGCACAGATGAGGCTGAGTGCATTTAACTTAGAGTTCATCCTTAGGTGTGGCTGCAGGAGATCCTGTAGGGTTGCTTGAAGTCTTGATGGGGTAGGATGGTTGCATTGCTATACCACACAACCCCTCTTCAGCATCAACCTTGCGCTGCATCCTAATGTATCCTTTTTCTCCCCATTCAGCTCCCCATGAGTTCTTCACAATCCAGTATTTGGTTCCATCGACGGTTGTGCCATACCCCACAATCGCCACACCATGGTCCAACTCAGTACCACATTCTC